CTCACAAAAGCTGCCCCACTGGGCACTAATTTCTTATCCCAGGCAGAAACTTCCAGCATTATTTTATTAGAAGTAAAAAAATAAATCTTTGGCCCTGGCCGGTTTGGCTCAGCGGTTAGAGCGTCGGCCTGCGGTCCTGAGAGACCTGGGTTCGGTTCCCGCTAAGGGCACGTACCTCGGTTGCAGTTTGTCCCCGGCCCTGGTCGGTTGTGCGGGTGGCAGCCACTTGATGTGTCCCTTTCACATCGATGTTTCTCTCTCCCTCTTTCTCTGTTCCTCTCTCTCCCTCCCACTCTACCTGAACAAAGAATGGAAAAATGTCCTCGGGTGAGGATAAAAAAAAATAAATAAATAAATCTTTGGAAGTAAATATAAAAAAACAAAAATGGTATACACGTAATTAACAAAGGCCAAATAGAATTATGGCATTACCCAGAATTCTAACGGAATGTTTCTAGAGTCCGGAAGAATGGAGTCGTGTAGTGGAGATAATTGATGGGCATTAATTCACCAGCGAATTATTTTTGCTTTCACGGTCGAGATTGCACCCTTTGCCCAGTCTTTGTTTTAAAATACATGAAAGTATTTCAGTTTTCTCTTTGCATTTCAAGAATGAAAAGGTTTCTCTGGCCTTTTCTTGAACCCATCAATTGATTTTCCATCAGCTGCAGGTAACACAATGAGTGAAGAAAATCTATACCTTGGTCCCCAGGGGTGATCTCGCGAGTTCAAGGCAAATTGCCACGTTCAGCATCTGGGACCCATCACGTCTGCTGTGACCTCATCGATGGGCACACGGCCCTCCCAGACGTACGAATGGTGAGCGGAGGGAGTTGGGTGACAACTTTTTTTTAGGGGAACAATAGACACAAAGCTAGAAATGGGGAGGTCATGGTGAGGGTGATTTACGACATCAAGGGTTGCTGAGAGCCGCCCTCAGGAGCTTGTGCCGCACCGCAGATGACAGAGACAGCCACAGCATCCCGTCATTGGCCAGGGGGGACCCCCAAATGCCCGAAGATCCTTCAGTTTACAGGGGTGCTGTGCCTCAGGACCCTCCCCTTGGTCCCATACCGTGTGGACAGCAGTGTCAAAAGGCCCAGGACATTAGTGCCCGTTCCCTAAACAGACTGAGGAGCCATGGTCCTCTGGTTGCTGGAGGGGTGGCAGCAACAGGAAAGGAACCTTGAGCAGGCCCGGGCTCTAGCGAGCACAGGTCTGAACTCCTGAGCTGTTCATGCGGCAGAGCCCACGCACCTGTCACAGGTACACTGAAAACTGTCCCCTAGCAACAGAGAAAACACAGGATTTCTACGGTGCATTTAATAGGCTATATAAAAAGAAATTTCTTTTTTTTTATCAAGAACATTTTCTTTATTGATTTTACAGAGAGAGGAAGGGAGAGGGAGAGAGAGAGAAACATCAACGAGAGAGAACATCAATTGGCCGCCTCTTGCGGATTGGGCCCACAACCCGGGCATGCGCCCTGGCTGGGAATCGAACCGGCGATTCGAACCGGTGTCCCTCTTGCCACACCAGTACTTTATTTTTTATTATTTTTATTTTTTTTATGCCCACCCGAGGACACTTTTGCATTATCTTCAGATAGAGCGGGAGGGAGAGAGGGAGGAAGAGAGAGAGAGAAACATCGACGTGAGAGACACATTGACTGGCTGCCACCCACACGACCCCAACCGGGGCCGGGGACAAACTGCAACCAAGGTACATGCCCTTAGCGGGAACCAAACCTGGGTCTCTCTGGTCCGTGGGCCAACGCTCTAACCGCTGAGCCAAACCGGCCAGGGCCACGCTAGTACTTTAAATTAGAAAAAAAAGAAATTTCAGCAGACTCACGGACACAGAGAACAGACTGGCGGTGGCCAAGGGGAGGGAGGCGGGGCTGAGCGCGAAGGGCGAAGGATTGAGAAGCACAGCCGGGCAGTTTCCGAACAGTCCCGGGATGTGAAGGGAATATAGTCAATAGCACCGTAGTAACCACGTGTCCCCGGAACCGGCTGGGTACTGGGAATGTCAGGGGGACGCTTTGTAAAGTATATGACTGTCTAACCTCTGTGCTGTACACCTGAAACCAATGCAAAATAACTGAATGGAAACTGTAATCGAAAAACATAAAAAGACTTAAAAACTGGGGGGGGGGGGGTGTGGAATTCCACTAGAAACATGTTATCATTATTTTGCACAGAAAACTAGCTCTGAAAACATCCTCACCAAGAAACTAATAGCTGCATGTGTGCTAAGAGTTGGTACGAAGAATGAAATGTGTCTAAGTGTTAAATAGTGTTAGCCCTGGCCGGTTTGGCTCAGCGGTTAGAGCGTCGGCCTGTGGTCCAGAGAGACCCGGGTTCGGTTCCCACTAAGGGCACGTACCTCGGTTGCAGTTTGTCCCCGGCCCTGGTTGGTCGTGCGGGTGTCAGCCACTCGATGTGTCCCTTTCGCGTCGATGTTTCTCTCTCTCTCTCTCTCTCTCTCCCTCCCACTCTGAACAAAAAATGGAAGAAATATCCTCAGGTGAAGATAAAAAAAAAATAGTTTTAGTATTAAGCATGTTATTTCAAAAATTAAGAACTGTCAACACAAAACTTTCAGGGCACTCCCTGGAGAGAGTGGGGGAGCAGGGCCTGCAGGGACAGTAGAAGCGGACGGGTGAGCGGGAGTCCATGCGCTGGCTTTTCTCCAAGTTAAAGAGGCAACCTTCCTACACACGCAAGGAAGAGAAATTTCAAGTCGTGTTATTTGATCATCGTACCACAAGTCTAGAATTTAATACGTACTGAATAGAAGAACTCAAACCACCGAGAGCATATTTTTTAAAATTGTCCCCAAATAACATTTAGATCAAAGAGGAAATTAAAACCGCAATGACAAGTTTATTAGGAAAATAATCAGAACTGCGTTGCATAATGGAAACAAGGTGTGAAATCAAAACCACGCTCAGGAGGTCAGTTTAGCTTTACACGTGTCCATTGTACAACAAAGGAGGATAGAAATAAACCACATTGAAATGAAGAGGTTATGGGGCGCCTACAATAACATTCCTGAACATGCGCGTGGCTGTTGTTTTTAGATAATTACTAAAAGTCGCAGCTACTTTCACAAAGGAAAAAAGTCTATGAAATTCTTAAGTTTGAACATTATGAGAATGGGATGCACGAATTTACACCTGATTGAATGAAGAGATAAATCAACAAAATTAACCGAAGAGGGAAATGTGAATATACTATCAGCCATGAAGAAATGCCAGGAAGTTATTTAACAAAACCGTCCACTTCCCCAAGGGCACGGAGCCGGCTTGGCTTAGGGGGAAGTTCTTCAAACCTGTGCTATTTTTTTCCCTGGGGGGGGGGGACATCGATGTGAGAGAGACCCATTGGCTGCCACCCACATGAACAAACCACAACCGAGGTACGTGCCCTTTGTGGGAACCGAACCCGGGACTCTCTGGTCCACAGGCTGACAATCTAACCGCTGAGCCAAACCGTCCAGGGCCAAACCTGTGCTATTTAAACAACTGTAGGACGTGGAGAAAACAGGCAGCTGAGCCCGCCCCAAGCAGCCCTGCACTAGCCCAGGACAAGGGGGACTGTGACAAGGGGGACTGTGACACCAGTCCCCGCATCGGCTGCCTCTGCTTTAGTGTAGACGGTCCCCTTGGAGGTCAGGGGGCCACTAACCTAGTCAAGCCCACAGTACTCATGGAGCCTCCGCATGGCTGCCTTTGTCCCTCTGCTAAACTGGTGCTATCCCGTCAGAGGACGGAGGCTCCTGTCCACACCCTCTAAGGCAAAATGAGGGAACTGGGGCACAGGGAGGTGTAGTCACCAGTCCAAACCTCACTTGGGTGAAGTTAGGAATAAGGGAGTTGGGAGCGAATGGCTAAGGAGAGGCTGGGTGACTTATGTCCCGGAGAAAGCAGGACGCCAGGGGACAGGCAGTACGCTGGGTGTCCGGGGTGCTTGGTCAACCCTAGATGGACATGTTGGGGGCCCACAAAGAGGAACTTCCTTCTCTCAGGCGGAGGCCGGAGGAGGAAGGTGTTTCTGCCCGTGTTAAGCTTTGCTGACCGGGTTGTAGGTCTTGGGAGCCCTGGGGCCTTTGGCGGGACACGAAGCACAGACGCTGGCCTGCAGGGAGCAGCTTGGACGCCACCGTCAGCGGCTGGCCCGAGGCCGCGGACACCTAGCCTTCTGGTCCCTGTGCAGAATGTCCCTGACAGTCATCGACACACCGAGGGAGCTGGGTGTCTCATCGGGTGAATTCTAGGGGCCTGGGCGCGCGGTTCCTGGCTCCTTGGGGACGGACGCAGTGGACCGAGCGCCCGGGGAGCGAGCGCTGTTTCTCGGACACGCGGGAACGCGGGCTCCTGAGGACCGACATGGTTTGGGCAGACGGCACCCGGAGCCCCGCGTGGGGAGAGGAGGTGCGGCCCAGCCTCCGGAGGCAGGTCCCTGTCCTGTGGCCTTGCTTCCCCTCCGGGCGCCCTGGGAGCCCCGGCGCTTACAGCGTCACCCGACCCACCTGGCCGAGGGAGGGACGTTGCGCGCGGGTGGAAGCGGTTACGCGCAGTCCCAGCGGCCAGGGCCGGTGCTTGTGTCCCCAGCCGAGGCCCCGCGAGCCAGGTGCACCAGCGCGCCAGCCTCCCGAGCCGGACCCCGCGCCCAGTTTCCCAGCCGGGCGCCCCCGCCCCGGGGTCCTCCGGGTCCCCACGCAACAATGTGGCGGGGGCGGCCCCAGCGGCCTCATTTGCATGCGCCGAGGCTCCGCCAATGGGCTGCGCGGGGGCTTGGGAGCGCGGGTGGCCCGCTGCGTGCGCGCGTGTGCGGGTGTGACAGCGCGGAGACCGTGGCGGTGGCCGTGGCCCTGGGAGGCGGGCCGCGGGGACCAGCGGGGGACCAGCGCCGGCGCCTGCGCCCCCAGCGCGTCGCGGCCGCGCGGCCCGGCCCAGCCCCGAGCCCCCCCAGCCCGGCCGGGCGCAGCCGCGATGTCGGTGGCGGGGCTGAAGAAGCAGTTCCACAAAGCCAGCCAGGTAGGGGCGCAGGGCCGGGTGCGGGGGACTGGGGGGCCAGGTCCCCGAGGCCCGGGCCTTTGGGGCTCTGCGCCCCAGGCGCCTCTCTTGGGCTCCGGATCTTCCCGCCTCAGAGCGCGCGGGGTGGAGTGAGGGCCGCCGGCTCGCTCCTCCCAGCCCCCCGCCCGCGCTCCAGCCCGAGCCCCTGGAATTTTGAGGGTCTGGGGGGACAGAGGAGGTGGCCGCCCGACGCACCGCTCGTGCCTCTCCCGCCGGCGCTGGGAGGACCAGGGGGAGCGCACTGCCCGCAGGGTGCGGGCTGGGGACGCAGTGTCCTGGGTCCCCCGGGTCCTCGCCAGCCGCCTGGAGATGGACCCGCTGGACTGTGCCTCACTCGGGGCCAGGGCTCCCGCCGCCGTCCTTCCTCCCCCGCCGCCCCGGGCCGCCAGGTGGGGAGACACCTAGACAGACGTGTAAACAAACTGGGAGACACACCTCCGCGCGCAGAGGATGGAAGACACCACCGCGGGGGCGTCCGGGGGGGCTTCCCGGAGGAGGAGACGTCACTGCAGAATTAAGTGTGGGGAGCAATTTGGGGTTGGGGGTTGGGAGCTGGGAGGGAAAGAGGAAGGGCGTTCTGGGCGGAGGAAACAGGAAAACAGGCAGGGAGGCGTGAAATTGGGGGGTGTTGACGAGCCAACTGGTATTCCAGTGTTGCAGCCTCTTCCAGCCAGGCCAGGCTCTCATTGTGGAACTTGTCGTATTACTGCACCCCTGGATCTGTCGCTCCGTCCCTCCCTCCCCTCAGCCCCCCCCCTTCTATAACAAGGTGGACGACATCCCTGGGAATCCACATTTCTGAGGTCTCATCCTGCGTCTCCCACAAACGGGCCCTGAAAAGCAGCTGGAATTAGAGGCCCGAGGCCCTGCTGCCCCCTCACTGCCTCTCCGCGAAGACACTGGATGAGGCGGGTGTCTGGCTGGGGCCCAGGGGACCTGGTGCTCTCCTGCAGGAGGGGGCCGTTGGCAGGGGAGATGGGGGACTCCCTGCTGAACCTGGGCACCTGGCGGGGTCTGTGGGACATTCAGATGTGCCTGACCTGGGGCACAAGGTGTGAGGCCAGGACTGGGGCACAGACTCTTTGGCATCTCCAGCCTAAACGGACATTTAAAGATATAAGTGCAGATGGACATGAGACGGCACAATGAGCTAAGTATAGACTAGCGAGCCCCCACTTTGAGGGACATGTTTAGCCCGGTACTTGGTAAGCGTGACCACTCAGTATATATCCAGGGGATAAATACACTGTCCAGGTGGAGGACCACAGGAAGGAAGGAGCTGGGAAAAGGCAGGGGAGAGAAGGCTGTCATGGGAACCCAGGGAAGGGGGTGGCCACGGTGCTGCTGGGAGCCGGGAGCTGAGTGAGCTCAGCCTGGGGGTCACTGGGGGTCACTGCTGCCTGTGCTTGCTACCCTGGCTTCCTTCCTTCACACGGGCAGGGAGCTAACCTTCTCTTTTGAAAAGTTTTCTTGGGTATGGATGTCATAGGAGCACATCTCAGAGATGAGCAAGACATACTCTTGGATAATTCAGGTTGGTTTCGGACCACCAACCAGCGTGATGAGTGGTTAACGTTTTAGGAAGTTATTGGTATTGGGAAAGTGCTATCCCAGTGATGAGGTTGTTGAGTCCATAATCAGTCCATTACAAACGAAGTGAGCAGAGTTATCTGATGTAACCTTTTTTTCTTTTTTGCATGAGCTGAAATCTTTTTTTTTTATCCTCACCCGAGGACATTTCTTCCATTTTTTTTTCAGACAGAGTGGGAGGGAGAAAGAGAGAGAGAGAGAGAGAGAAACATCGATGTGAAAGGGACACATCGAGCGGCTGTCACCCGCACGACCAACGAGGGCCGGGGACAAACTGCAACCGAGGTACGTGCCCTTAGCGGGAACCGAACCCGGGTCTCTCTGGACCGCAGGCCGACGCTCTAACTGCTGAGCCAAACCAGCCAGGGCGAAATCTTTTGTGACTTTATCTGAAAAGAAAGATATCACAGATCGTCTCTGGGTTCGAGAGTCCACACTGTGTGGTCAGAGCACCCACTAGATAACATTTTTGTCGGTTCTAGAAGTCTTTCTAAGAACTCTTGCGATGTGACGGATTTGGTGGAGACATTAGACTGGGTTTAATATGGTAAGAGGGACCAGGGTAATAAAACATGGTAGATGTTTCTCTTAGACATTTTAACAGCAGGTTTTAATTCACGTGGAACCTTCCCAGGGCAGGGGAACAGCAGTCCCCGATGATGTCAGTGGCTTAATAATTCTCAGGGGTGCAGACCTGGGTCTGCCACTGGCCTGCTCTGTGACCTGGGGAGCGTGACTTGGGCATCTGGACCTGGTTTCTCTGTGTGATGGACTAGACGATTTAGAGGCTGTCTCTGCCCTAAAATCGATCGCGGTGATTGGTTGCACAGCTCTGTGAATGTACTAAAACTCGCTGAATCGCACACTTAACGGGTGAATCGTATGGTATGTGATTTACAGCTCAATACAGTGTGTGTGTGTGTGTGTGTGTGTATTTCCCTGTTTTGAACATTTTAAGTAATCCACTTCAAGTATTCCAGAGAAAGACAAACTTCATCAGGTTAACCGGCCTTTCTTTCCTGATACCTTACCCCCTCTGAGGGGGGAGAAAATCCTTCTTTTACAGAGAACGAAGAGCCGTAAACTCATCATGTTGGGAGCACCAAGACCAGCAGGAAAGAGGGAGAAAAAAAACTAGTGGGAAGAGGACAGGTTGAAAGCAAAATATATTTCTTCCCTTTAGCATTTGGGCTCGGAACCCGAGTGTCCCGAGGGCTTAATTCGGTGCATTTAAAAAACAAATCTTCTTTGGTTGGGGTGCAGCTTGAGTTATCAGAGTTACATTTAACTCTCTTACCGACAGCATTGTGGTTTCCTGACCAACAAAACTATAACGTGCATGAACGACACCAGCGTCACAGTCTCCTCTCCCCTCTTTTTCTTCTTCTCCCCCCAAACTAACCATATAGTGAGACACTAACTAGATGGTGAAGACAGTGTGGGCTTATGTTAAGTGGATCTTTTTTTGGTCCTTACATAGCAGTGCCCTTTAATCTCTGCCACGTGACCCAGCAACACTAGGGAATGTGGGACTATAACACAGCTTTTGGGGGGTAACTTTTCCCCTTTCTCTTTTAACGTGTTAACCAGACAAACGAGGGGTCACAAGGAGCCCGGACATTTACCCTGTCATGACAGGCTGGCCATTTACGGGTAAACTCTTCTGAGAAGGATGCTCTCAGTAAATTATAAGAGACTCCGGGGAGGCAGTGAATGTCTCTTGTTTCTTTCCTTGTTCGAGACAGAGACCAAAATGCACTTTGCAAAACCCAGAATGATTTATTCTTTTCTCTTAGACACATCAGAAACTAGGTCCCGCTGAAACATCCTTGCTTCTTTCTACGTAGGTTGCTTGGTAAATTAAATCATAAGCCTAAGGGGTATTATTTTTTAAGTCAGGGTGCTAGCGTAGGTGTTCACACCAACTGGGGGTTGATCTCTGTGCTAGCTGAAGGACAGTACAATCCAACCATTCCTTACCTCTAGTGACTCCTCCCCCCAGAATACGTGCCACTTAGGGTTATCACTTGGAATTTGATATAAAAATACGTTTGAAAGCAGCGTTGTTTTATTGGGGGCCGGGTGCGATTTTTTCAGATTAATTCTCAGTTTTCTTAACGAGTTGAATGTAAATTGTATTTCCCAAAGTTAAGTGTTGGGGGGCGTGTTGTGTATTTGGGGGAGCTGTGGTTGGCAGGCTTTACCCAGAAAATAAAACTACCAGTACACAGAACTAATATATATAGTATTTTATTTGCCTAAATACTAGGCGAATGTATTCTAAAGAGGCTCCATCAGCAAAACACGGAGGACGGGGTTTTGCTTTTCAGTGCACAGCTGGCCAGGTGTTGAGGGGGGCGGGGAGGCAGCCGGCACTGTTGCGATGCTGAGTATTCTAACCGTCCCCTCTGTGCACCCCCTGGGCTCGCCCCGCCTTTCCCAAGGTCATCGCGTGAGTTCTGACCACAGCGTCCAGCGCGGTGACCCACCTGAGCCAGGTGCTGTTCCTTCCGACTTCCCTGCTCACCCAGTGGGTGATGCTGTCTCCCCCCCTCCCCCCCCCCCCGGCACCGGATAGATCTTTCTCCAGCACCGATGCCACCTCATGTTTCCTGTTCGCGCCCCCTGCCCTGGGCGAAGCTGCTGCTGATCCAGCCTCCGTGACTTGCTGCCTCGTGAGCCAGACATGCGCGTCGCCTCTTGTCATCCACGCACGACCTTTCTAACTTATGGGCCTGATTCCGAAGGCCAGAGGGACCGGTCAGCGAGGGTGTGGCGCGCCTCGGTTTCTCCAGGTGTGCCGGGGACGCAGCGCACCTGGCTGTCCTCCCAGTGCTTCTCGCCCCTCGTTTTCCCTGGATTTGTCACCTCCCCCACGCTCGTTCCTTCTTTCCTGCATCGATGCTCGGCACCCAGGAGCAGAGGACAAGTCATCTGAGGCGGAACCCCTCGGTGGCACCCAGTGAAAACCTTCTTAGCAGATCCGACGGCCTAGGTATCCCGCATACGTTTTATATTTCAAACACTGCCTGGCACGTAGTAGGTGCTCAGCAGCCATCCTCTCCTGCCGAATGAACGTTCAGTCGGTAGTGAGGATGGTGACGTGGAGCCCGGGTGGTCTGGTTAACTCCAACCTACTGTTTGCCTAGATCCTTGTGATTTGGGGGTGGGGAGGAATGTTCAAATCCCAGATTTTCTGTCATTTCCTACTTTTGAAATACTGGCGGTGACACGACAGCGTGGCGTGCGGAGCCTGAAATATTAGCATCTGCGCTTTACAGAACAGGTCGCCGACCCTGCCCCGCACCGGCTGCCGAGGGGATTTATGGTGCGCACGTCCCGAGGCCCTGGACGGGACGCCCGGGCGGTTC